CAGCAGGGGATGCAGGGGCTGGGAGGCACCCCCTGGGGGATGACCTGAGGGCATTGGCAGAGGGGCAGGAAGCAAGCTGGAGCTCCTGCAGCCGGTCTCCCCATCCAGGGGCCCAGGCAGCCCTTAGCCCCGCCTCCGGAAGTCAGGCAGGCTCCGCCCACTCAGGGCTATAGGTGGGGGTGGGGTGACCATGAGAGTTCCAGGGCCTGCTCCTGGGCTGTCCCTGGAGGAACCTGTCTTGGTCCCCACAGGTTGCTCCATGACTGCTGTGGGTTTAGGGAAGGGACACGGAGCGGGGTCGGGAGGCCAGGTGACCGGTGGAGGCCGGAGCAGCTCACCCCTTTGGACACGGCCTGGCAGAGGTGTTGCATCCAGTCGGCCATCTCAGCCTCGCTCTCGGCGCTCAGCTCCAGGCAGGGCCGGTCAGCAAGGATGACCTGGAAGGCGTGGGGCCGATCCGTGGTGTTGGACCTCCGACAGCCACCGCACTGCTCCCCCCTGGGCCAGAGGAGGAGGGGTGAAACGGGAGCGAGGAGGCAGGGGTGGCTCGGGGTGGGAGCCCTGGGTGTGGCTCAAGGCCTGTGGGTACAGGGTCGGCCCAGCCCCAGGGCGGAGGGCACCGGAAGACGTCCAGACCCCTCTGGCTCTCAGGAGAGGCTGAGAGCTGCTGGGCAGCCCCACTCCATCCTGTGCAACGCCGTTTATGTCCATAATCAAAGATCCTTCTAGAACAGGGGTGGGCAAACTTTTTGACTCGAGGGCCACAATGGGTTCTTAAACTGGACCGGAGGCCGGAACAAAAGCATGGATGGAGTGTTTGTGTGAACTAATATAAATTCAAAGTAAACATCATTACATAAAAGGGTACGGTCTCTTTTTTTTATTTTAGTTTTATTCATTTCAAACGGGCTGGATCTGGCCTGCGGGCCATAGTTTGTCCACGGCTGGTCTAGAACCTAAGCATGGCCAGGTGAGGGGTGAGAATCAGCTCTTAGCTCCGGCCTCTCAGAATTAGGGCACATCCTCCTATTCCGTGAGGACTGACGCTTCCTCCACGTATGTGTGCGTCCATCTTCCCCATCAGGGCAGGCGCTTCCCAGGGAAGGGACTGCCCTCTGTGAGCCTAGGGACTGCCCCCTATCAGGCCGGGGGACTGCCTCCCCTATCAGACCAGACCCTTTCCGGGCAAGAAGCTCTTGCTTCCCTGAGAGGAGCTTTCCCTTCCCCCTCCCTGGGTCCCAGCAGTCCTCAGAGCTCAGCAGGACCCAGGGCACAGGGTCAGGGCTGCTGGATGCAGTGGGGTGAGGGGCAGGCGAAGCTGACAAGAGGGAGAGCCAGGAGCTGTCTCAGGGAGAACAGGAGCGCGGCCCCAAGCTCAGCCAGAGCCTTGACCTTCAGGCCGCGATGCCAGACCCCACCTCCCCAGCCCCTTCGCCAGGACACTCACCCCATGTTCACCGAGAGCAGGGGGATGACGTCGGTGCGGTCGGGGTACTGGTAGAGGATCCCATTGCTGCAGGGACACAAAGGCAGGGCTGAGGCCTGTCCCAGCTCGGGACCAGGTGGAGCCCAGATCCCAGGGACGCCCACAGGCTGGAGCCTTGAACCCCAGAGGCCAAGGAGGGGGTGGGGGGGCTGTGTTCTGTGGCGGGGAGGGTGAAGAAAGGACTGCAGAGGGACAGCAACCTGGGAGCTCGGGGCAGCCCTGCCCAGGTCTTTGCCTGCAGCCTTCCAGGCGGGCTGCTTTGGGGTGGCCGGGGTGGGAGCCCGGGGTGGCCCCCAGGAGGCTGGCTTTACAGGGAAGCTCTAATATCCTCGGTATGTTTCCTCCTAAGCCCTGTGGGGAGGGAGTTTCCCCCTCGGTTCCCTTCAGTGACTTGCTGCGAAGGCTCCCACCTGAGCACCACGAAGCAGGTCTTCCAGAGCTCCTTGCCCAGGTAGGAGGTGCCCGCCTTGTAATGCAGCATGCCCTCCTTGGTGATGGCGCCCTCGGGGGGTGAGCAGTGGCAGGGGACAGGGCCCAGGGACTCGTCAGTGGGGTCCTCCCAGTGCACCAGCCCATAGAAGCGCACGGTCACAGCAGCTGCCTGGGGCGGGGGGTGGGGGGGCAGTAGACAGCGGTGAGGTCACGGCCAGCACCAGGGGGGCCACTGAGAGCAAGGACACGCCCCAGGCCCAGGCCCCTGCCCCTGCCTCCGCCTCCCCAGCTTCTTACCTCACACTTAGATTCCTGGGCCACGAACTTGGCCAGTGCCAGCTTCTCCATGGTGGCATCGGTCAGGATGCTGGGGTATGGGGGTTCCCGACAGCCTTTGATCATGGCTGACTTCAAAGAAGCCAAGAAGAACCTGCACGGGGAGTGGGCCTTGCCGTCAGAG